CCGAGCAGTCCATTGGGCGCTGGGATCCCGAGCAGTCCATCGGCTGGGATCCCAGCAGTCTATGGGCGCTCGGATCCCGAGCAGTCCATCGGCGCGTGGGATCCCGAGCAGTCCATTGGGCGCTGGGATCCCGAGCAGTCCATCGGGCGCTGGGATCCCGAGCAGTCCATCGGGCGCTGGATCCCGAGCAGTCCATTGGGCGCTGGGATCCGAGCAGTCCATCGGGCCGCTGGGATCCCGAGCAGTCCATTGGGCGCTGGATCCCGAGCAGTCCATCGGGGGCGCGGGTGGATCCCGAGCAGTCCATTGGGCACTGGGCGATCGCGCAGTCCATTTGGCGCTGGGACCCCGAGCAGTCCATAGGGCGCTGGGATCCCGAGCAGTCCATCGGGCGCTGGGATCCCAGCAGTCCATCGGGCGCTCGGATCCCGAGCAGTCCATTGGGCGCTGGGATCCCGAGCAGTCCATCGGGCGCTGGGATCCCAAGCAGTCTATTGGGCGCTCGGATCCCGAGCAGTCCATCGGGCGCTGGGATCCCGAGCAGTCCATTGGGCGCTGGGGCCCGCAGTCCATTGGCGCTGGGATCCCGAGCAGTCCATAGGGCGCTGGGATCCCGAGCAGTCCATCGGGCGCTGGGATCCCGAGCAGTCCATGGGCGCTGGGACCCCGAGCAGTCCATTTGGGCGCTGGGACCCCGAGCAGTCCATAGGGCGCTGGGATCCCGAGCAGTCCATGGGCGCTGGGATCCCGAGCAGTCCATAGGGCGCTGGGATCCCGAGCAGTCAGTCCATCGGGCGCTGGGATCCCGAGCAGTCCATTGGGCGCTGGGCCCGGCAGTCCATAGGGCGCTGGGATCCCGAGCAGTCCATCGGGCTGGGATCCCGAGCAGTCCATCGGGCGCTGGGATCCCGAGCAGTCCATTGGGCGCTGGGGCCCCGAGCAGTCCATTGGGCGCTGGATCCCGAGCAGTCCATCGGGCGCTGGGATCCCGAGCAGTCCAGCGGGCGCTGGGATCCCGAGCAGTCCATGGGCGCTGGGATCCCGGCAGTCCATTTGGCGCTGGGACCCCGAGCAGTCCATAGGGCGCTGGATCCCGAGCAGTCCATTCGGCTGGGATCCCGAGCAGTCTTTGGGCGCTGGGATCCCGAGCAGTCCATCGGGCGCTGGGATCCCGAGCAGTGCATCGGGCGCTGGGATCCCGAGCAGTCCATAGGGCGCTGGGATCCCGAGCAGTCCATCGGGCGCTGGGATCCCGAGCAGTCCATTGGGCGCTGGGGCCCGCGCAGTCCATAGGGCGCTGGGATCCCGAGCAGTCCATCGGGCACTGGGATCCCGAGCAGTCCATCGGGCGCTGGGATCCCGAGCAGTCCATTGGGCGCTGGGCCCGCAGCAGTCCATGGGCGCTGGGATCCCGAGCAGTCCATCGGGCGCTGGGATCCCGAGCAGTCGCGGCGCTGGGATCCCGAGCAGTCCATGGGCGCTGGGATCCCGGCAGTCCATTGGCGCTGGGACCCGAGCAGTCCATAGGGCGCTGGGATCCCGAGCAGTCCATCGGGCGCTGGGATCCCGAGCAGTCTATTGGGCGCTGGATCCCGAGCAGTCCATCGGGCGCTGGGATCCCGAGCAGTCCATTGGGCGCTGGGGCCCGCGCAGTCCATTTGGCGCTGGGACCCCGAGCAGTCCATTGGGCGCTGGGATCCCGAGCAGTCCATCGGGTGCTGGGATCCCGAGCAGTCCATTGGTCGCTGGGACCCCGAGCAGTCCATTTGGCGCTGGGATCCCGAGCAGTCCATAGGGCGCTGGGCCCCGCGCAGTCCATTGGGCGCTGGGACCCCCGAGCAGTCCATCGGGCACTGGGATCCCGAGCAGTCCATTGGCGCTGGGATCCCGAGCAGTCCATTGGGCGCTGGGGCCCGAGCAGTCCATTGGGCGCTGGGATCCCGAGCAGTCCATCGGGCGCTGGGATCCCGAGCAGTCCAGCGGGCGCTGGGATCCCGAGCAGTCCATTTGGCGCTGGGACCCGGAGCAGTCCATAGGGCGCTGGGATCCCGAGCAGTCATCGGGCGCTGGGATCCCGAGCAGTCCATAGGGCGCTGGGATCCCGAGCAGTCCATTGGGCGCTGGGGCCCCGCGCAGTCCATAGGGCGCTGGGATCCCGAGCAGTCCATCGGGCACTGGGATCCCGTGCAGTCCATCGGGCGCTGGGATCCCGAGCAGTCCATTGGGCGCTGGGGCCCCGAGCAGTCCATTGGGCGCTGGGATCCCGAGCAGTCCAGCGGGCGCTGGGATCCCGAGCAGTCCGGGCGCTGGGATCCCGAGCAGTCCATGGGCGCTGGGACCCCGAGCAGTCCATAGGGCGCTGGGATCCGAGCAGTCCATAGGGCGCTGGGATCCCGAGCAGTCCATTGGGCGCTGGGATCCCGAGCAGTCCATTGGGCGCTGGGATCCCGAGCAGTCCATCGGGCGCTGGGATCCCGAGCAGTCCATTGGGCGCTGGGATCCAGAGCAGTCCATTGGGCGCTGGGACCCGAGCAGTCCATTGGGCGCTGGGATCCGGAGCAGTCTTAGCACAGGGTTGAGCATCGCCTTTCCTGCTCACTGGCTTGGGTAGCAGGGGAGGAGAAAGAGAAGAATGCGAAGATGCATACATGCAGATATGCACGTACATGCGCACACTAACTCATCACCCATACACACATACACACTCAGACACTCACCTGCAGCGTGTTGCTTGCATCATCGACAAGGAATTGCAGTGGAATGCGCACATCCCACACTGCAGGAGGTACGCAGCACCACGCTCTCCGCTCCCACTCATCTTCATCCCATACTCACGCACAGAGGAGCAGCGCAAGCACCTCGCACGCACCTGTAGTGTGTTGCTGGCATCATCAACAAGGAATTGCAGCGGAATGCGCACATCCCAAACTGCAGGAGGCAGCACCACCTCTCGCCTCCCCCCTCCCCCTCCTCCCACTCATCCTCATCCCAACCCTCATTCTCACTCCCACCCACTCCCTCCTCTCCTCCTCCTCCTCCCCCTCCGATTCCTCCCAAACCTCTCCTGAGCAGCCCGCCTATTCTCTCAAACATCGAGCCAATTCCAGATGCAGCTCTTCTCCCTTCCCCTTCCCTCCCACCACTACCACCACCACTACCACTACCACTACCCCACTGCCACTGCCATTGCCACTATTCGTGCTCTCGTTTCGACTCTCCCTCTCTCCTTCCCCCCCAGCTCCTCCCAGGCGTCCGTATTTCGCCGATATGATCATCAGAGCGTTGCCGTTTTGCCGCTGCTGTAACGCGGTTACCCGTCTGGTTACCACCGGGGTCATCATGTCCTGGAGCTGCCGAGCCTCAGCCATGGACTCCCAGACCTGCTTAGCTGACTTCTGCCGAACCTCCCGGTCCTGCCGAGCCTCCCGGATCTGTTTCCACCGGCTGAACACCCAATGCTGGAGTGGAGGCATGGGGCGAGGATTGCGGGGGGAAGGGAAGAGGGGAGGGTGGGGAGAGATGGAAAGGTATGGGAGCAGGTGCACAGCAATACTTGCCGAACCTTCCTGTATAGTTTTGAGGCGCCTCCAAACCTTCCTGTCCTGCCGAGCCTCTCAGATCTGTGTGCTTCCATTGGACGAACACCCAATGCTGCAGTATAAGAGAGGCTGAAATTGGCCCCCGTTGAGTAAGAGTACGAGTTCATGTATATCATGCAGAAGCGGGTGGGACGGATGTTTTTGAGATGTCTAAAAATGTACACTATGCAGAGGCGGGTGGGATGGGATGCAATTCAAGGGGGAGACGGTTTGTGTGAAGGGTTAGGTTGGGTTGGGGAAGGTAGGAGTGAGGCGGAAGGCAGCAGCAACAACAGCTTAAGAATATTTGGGAGAATCGTGTTTAGGAGTAGTTGGTTTCTCTATAAGTACCTTAAGGACAGCGTATGTGACCGAGGGAATGAGAATGGCCGGAACGCTGATGGCTGGTCGTAGAGTGGGGGAGAGGAGAATCTGGAGTTGAGGGGAGGGAGGGGGGGATGGGGGGAGGGGTGAGGGAGGGGAAGAGAGAAAGTGGTGTGTGACAAACGGTATGAGGCGCGTTGGAGCACAGATGGCTGGTTGCAGAGTGGGAGGGAGAAGAATTTGCACGGGAAAAAGAGAGAGGCGGGGAAGAGGGAAGGGAATAGACATTGGGGTGTAGCCTGTAGGGGGGGAGATGGGAAAAGCGGTGAGGGTGGGGGAGGGGGGGTTGGGGGAGAGGGGAGGGTTAAGGGAGGGAGGAAGAGAAAGAAGAAAATGGGGGGGGGTCCAATGCCAGGAAAAATAGTGGGAACCCCCACCACCCACTGAACATTTCTGCAATGTCAGGAAAAACAATAAATCCTCACTCGGAATATTTCCCCAATGTCAGGAGAAATAATAAATCCCCACAACCACTAAAATATTTTCTTCAATGCCAGGAGAAATAGTGGTTGCGGCACTAATTCTCCTGGCATTGAGAATGGAAAATAGGTTTACTCCCTCCTCCCCCACACACACACTTTTGAGGTGCCTCAAAAGTTTTCTCCTGACATTGAGAATGGACAATAGGTTTACTCCCTCCCCCCACACACACACTCACTATTCTTGTTGCGAAAAAGATGTGGAGGAAGTAAAGAGAGGAAACCGATAGTAGCACCGCCACACTTACAGGCACAGTGACCTTCTGGCCGCCTCGAGAGTAGCGAACCTTCCATAGTGTGCCCTGCAAGGGGGGATGACAGGGAGTGGGGTGGGGTGAAATGGGGCAAGGTGGAGTGGGATGATGTGGCTGGGAAGCATTGGATTCTATTCCAGGCAGGTTGGGTGTGGCCTGGCATTCACATATGCACACATGCACATACGCACATGCACATACGCACATGCACATGCATGACTCATGTTCTCATGTGCACATATCGCACACACATACCCACCCCACCACCAACACATGCCCATACTACCAGCCTTGGCACCACCTCACCTGGAGCCCCATGGTGACAAAGAACCCCAAAGAGCTGTTGTCCGATATCTTCCTGCTGCCACCCACCTCCACGTCTGCTCCTGTGCTGATGGGGGGAGAGAGGAGGCACGGGGGAAATAGGAGAAGAGAGGGGGAGAGAGGGGAGAGAGGGGGAGAGGGGGGAGAGGGGAGAGAGGGGAGAGAGGGGGAGAGAGGGGGAGAGGGGGAGAGAGGGGGGAGAGGGGGAGAGAGGGGAGGGGACCTGTCCCTGTTACACTGTCACTTGTATTGTATAGTGCTGGAAATAGAAACAAGCCAATCTCATCAATCCCGCTCAATCCCATACAAATGTAGCTACACACACAAACACCAGCACCACGTATAGTTATACAGAATCCCCCACAACCACACTCACGTTCCCAGCCTGCCGTGTATTCTCCCTGATGAATGTTCTGAGAACCTTCTGACGAAGGTCGCTGTGAGGCCCCCTGAGGACAAACCTGCTCCCACCCTGATGGGCAGCCGGGGAAGGCGGGAATGGGGGCCAGGGGGAATGGGGCAAAGGGGGAAAGGGGGCAGGGGGAAGGGGAGAAAGGGTGAAAGAGGGGAAAGGGGGAAGGGGGAAAGCGGGAAGGGTGACGAAGGAGAGGGAAAAGGGGGAGAGGGCGGGAAGGGTCACTGTTCAGCAACGAGGGGAGATGTTGATACGTTTTCAATAAAAGGCTCCCATTGATGTTTGTCCTAAAAAGCATGGCCACCATAAAACTCTGACAAGTGTACTGAAAGGCGCTTATAAATGTACTAAAATTCTTACTTTAAGCTCTGCATTGAAATTATTCTTGTCCTTTTGTGTGTGCCACCCCACTCCTGCACCTCCATCGGCTCCCCAACCCAATGTTGATCTGCACAAGGGATGACATAGCAAAACATCGCAATTGGGAAAAAATTCAAGACTAATCTGTTGGAAAACACCAACTTCGTTTTGATTCGAGAAGCACAACAAGCACCTCCATCCACTCCTAAAGCAATGTTAATCTGCACAAAAGGCGGACGAGTGGCAGGAGGGAGACGTGAATGCCCCCCAAACGGTCTAATAGCATTATAGCAGGCAGATGGAGGGTGAGAGAAAGTGAATAATTGTACAGATGCAGCAGAAAATCCAATCTCAGGAAAAGTTCATGCATGAAGAAAAGCTCTTGAAACTGTATGAAAAGCTCTTAAAACTGTATGAAAAGCTCTTAAAACTGTATGAAAAGCTCTTAAAACTGTATGAGAAGCTCTTTAAACTGTATGAAAAGCTCTTAAAACTGTATGAAAAGCTCTTAAAACTGTATGAAAAGCTCTTAAAACTGTATGATAAGCTCTTAAAACTGTATGAAAAGCTCTTAAAACTGTATGAAAAGCTCTTGAAACTGTATGAAAAGCTCTTAAAACTGTATGAAAGGCTCTTAAAACTGTATGAAAAGCTCTTAAAACTGTATGAAAAGCTCTTACCCCCCCCCCTAAAATCTCCAACGTACGAAGTGAGAAGTAAGGAGAAGAAGGAAGCAAGAGAGGAAGCCGCTGTACGTACAGATGCTGCAGTGGATTCTGTGATCTGGGACGTCCACGAATTGGCCAATGACAGCGAGCCATCATCAGCATGCCACGTCACCCCTGCCGTCGCCTTCACGGACGGCGACACTTGTCTGCACATGAGAGAGGTAGGAGAGGACGTAACAGGAGAGGTAAAAATAACGGAGAAGAGCAAAGCAGGGCCAGAAGCAGCAGGAGGATAACGGACGGCCAGCAGTGGCCTAGCCTCCCACAGGCACGCGTCTCATGAGCACACTAAGACCTTATCACGCAGTGGAGAGAGTGGGCTGCCTGGGTGCGATTTTTGAGGCGCCTCAAAAAGAGTGGGCTGCCTGGGAGCGAATCCCCGATTCTGCCACCAGCTCCATCGTCTGGCATGCATGCACCCACCCACCCATCTGCCTTCTAAGCTCAGCCACTTTTTTTGAGGCGCCTCAAAAACCTTCTAAGCACAGCCACTCTGGAGCCTCCCAGCACCAGCGCGTCCCTCAAAACTCACCCGGCAGTAGACTGAGTGAGCTGAGGAGTCTACTTTTGAGGCGCCTAAAAAATAGCCTCCTCACCGCGCAGTAGACAGAGTGAGCTGCGTGCGGATCCCCCACCGCCACGAGTTCAGCCGTGCCGTCCAGCATGCACCCATCTGCCTTCTAAACAGAGCCACCATGGAGGCGCCCCCCATTTGCAACCCCATGAGGTCCCATCAAGGCACCAATGAACCCATGAGCCCATGAGCCCATGAGCCCACGAGCCCATGAGCCCATGAGCCCATGAGCCCATGAGCCCTGAGTGCGTACCGTGCAGTAGACAGAGTGAGCTGGGTTCGAATCCCAACAACTGCCACCAGCTCGGCCGTCTGGTATGCATCCATCTGTCTGCGAAACACCGCCACCATGGAGCCGCCCCCCGCCACGCGCCTCATGAGCATGGAGCCGCCCAGGACTAACGTGTCCTTGTCGGATAGCGCCGCTTGGACTTGGGTTGACATGTGCATACTGGGAGGGGGTTGTGCAGAGGGGAGACAGGGGGGGAACAAAAGGAGGGGAAGGGCAGGGAAGGAGATGAGTGAAGAGGAGGAGGGGAGCATGGAGCCGCCCGGGGGGAGCAGCGTGTCTGGTAGCACCGCTTGGACCTGCGTTGACATGTGCATACTGGGAGGGGTCGAGGGGTGGGGGGGGGCCAGAAGGGGGGCACAAGAGGCCGTGAGGAGGGCATGGAGCCTCCCTGCCATGTACCTCATGAGCATCGAGCCGCCCAGGACCAGCCGCCCCTTGCCTGCCTGCACCTGCGTTGATATCTGCATACTGAAAGGTGTTGGTTGGGGGAGGAGGAGGGGAGAGGGGGAGAAAGTGGAAGCACGGGAGGGGGGAGGTGAGAGGAGAAGAAAGGGCATGGAGCCGCCCAGGACAAGAGTGTCCTTGGCTGATAGCGCTGCCTGCACCTTCTGCATTGACATCTGCATGCTGATACAAGGAGGGGAGGGGAGGGAGGGGGAGGGGGGGAGAACATGGTTAAAATGGCAGAACCCCAAAACCAAGCAGGGAGGGTTTGGGGTTGAGGGTTCAAATCATACCACATGACTCAGGTTTTGGGGTTCAGATCATACCCTGTGATTTAAGGTGAGCGGTTTGAATTAGTCCCTATGATTCAAGGTTATGGGTTCAAATCCTACCATTTGATTCAGGGTTTGGTTTGGGGTTCAGATCATACCCTGTGATTCTGGGGAAGCGTTGAAATCCTGACGCCAGGGCATCAGCAGCAGTGACAGACAGCAGCATGGAGGACGAGTGCTGGGTGCGCATCGCCGCTTTCAGCTCCTCCCTCCTCCTCTGCGCCCGCTCCCACTCCTCCCGTATCTCCTGCCTCGTGCGCAGGTGTGGGCCTAGCTCCATGCCCGACACCACGCCCTCTATGCCGTACAGGTCATACACCTGTCATATAGGGAGGGGGGGAAGAGGGGGGGGAAGGGGGGACATGTCTCATTGGGGGAGGAGTCCGCAGGTGTGGGCCTAGCTCCATGCCTGACACCACGCCCTCAATGCCGTACAGGTCATACACCTGCTTGTTCGGCCGGGGGGGGAACAAGGGGGCCAATAACGCACCCTCAATTGCCCTCTGCGCTCACTCCTCCCGTATCTCCTGCCTCGTCCGCAGGTGCGGGCCTAGCTCCATGGCCGAGCTGCTAACCGCATGGCCGAGCTGCTAGCCCCATGGCCGAGCTGCTAACCCCATGGCCGAGCTGCTAACCGCATGGCCGAGCTGCTAACCCCATGGCCGAGCTGCTAACCCCATGGCCGAGCTGCTAGCCCCATGGCCGAGCTGCTAACCCCATGGCCGAGCTGCTAACCCCATGGCCGAGCTGCTAACCCCATGACCGAGCTGCTACTAACCCCATGGCCGAGCTGCTAACCCCATGGCCGAGCTGCTAACACCATGGCCGAGCTCCTAACTTCCATTAAAACACCCACGAAACACCACGCCCTTGGACCCTCCCCCTTAACCACTGGTTTTGACACAGCCTTGTTCGGACCAAACCGTGTGAATGGGTCCAATTATCCTTTAACAGTTGTTCTTAAACATACACGCAAGAAGCATCAAGGCAAAAAATACGGCTTTCCACGTACCTGCCTCTTGGCCGGGTCGGACAAAACCTCGTAGGCGGATCGGATCCGCTGAAAGTGATCCTTGGCGACATCTTGCATCTGTAACACGTAACGAGGAGAGCGGATAACGAGGATTATTCCTTGGCGAAGAGAGCGAAGGGAAGTCGAGGCGAGGGAGAAGAATTCACTCAGTAGAGACGTGTCTGACGCCCCGCTACAGATAAAAACCTCCCCCTTTACTGAAGCTTACCTATGTGGGACGGTGCATGGGTAGACGAAGTGAGGAAGAAAGATTCTCAGTAAGGACGTATCTAATGCCCCGTTACAGATAAAAACCCCCCCTTTACTGAAGCTTCCCTATGTGGGACGGCGCTGGGGTATTTGCCACTAGTACCTGCGGAAAGGGGTACTTGTCAGGGTGGTACACCGAAGCGAGCTGGCGATACGCGCGTTTCAGCTCATCGTCAGACGCGTCCCGCGAGACGTGCAATAACGCGTACAGATCGGTGTGCAGATCCGTGCTGCCTGATCGCCCGCTGCTACCGTCTCTAAACGGCGGAGGCTCATATCCCGCCATCGCTACCACAACGCTGATTCAGCGCCGTGAGACACGCTGGCTCGTCGTGAGACACCCTGGCTCAGCCGGCGTCGAAGCTCGACGCCGGAATCTAGGGTAGGTCACGCCGCGACTCTGAGCTATCGACGTGACTCCCCTACGGTAACGGATGAGCAAGAGCGGGACGCATAAGGAGCAACAATCGGGAGCTCGGAAAGGGAAAATGGCCTATGCGACCAGTTATATGCTTATGGCATAGGAGGAACTGATTATCTGGCTAGGACAAGAGGAGAGAGTACCAGTTTCGTGATCGCTACGCGAGGCCTCGCTTGCCCTAAAGGCTGTTCGCCAGAATTCGCTGCGTAGCCCCTGTTACTGAACCAATTTCAAGGCTTGCTGAACCCCGTTTCCAATTCGGAGTTCGGCTTTCATCTTCATTTTCCGCGAGTTACGTGTGCCCAGAAGCGTACTCCATATCCGCGGGAAAGCCTTTCCGGGCTTGTCTAGCCTCGAAATTTGTAAATTGCACGTTCTGGCCCAACTGCCCAACAAATCGCGTTATATTTTCGTCAAGTGTCGTCATTGCGAACACTCCCTGAGAGCGAATGTTTATGCAGCACGAGAAGCGGCATGCCATCCCATTTCCCACAATCCTCCCGCAAATGAAATAATTTCTCCATTCCCATTTTCTGACTCACACTAATCCATTTTAGGGTGCGGGAAATGCGACAGCCGATCTCTTACCAGGCCGTGCTCTCACGCGCCACGCGTGTCACAGACGCACGTGTCCCGCTCCGATAGAGATCGCGAAGTTCCTGCACGGTTTCCCGCAATTCGCTAAAGTCCACCTCGCCTTTGTAGCTAGCGAACGTTATCCCGAAGTTTCAACCGGTTATTGCACCCGATGGCGACCAAATGTTTCCTCCTGCCTCTAGTCGCGATTTTCGCACTGGTGGTTTCGCTTGTGATGACGTCAGAGATCGCGTCAGCACAGTGCAGCCACAGCCATGGTCACTCCCATGGTCATTCCCATGACCATGACCATCATGATCACATGCATGGTGGTGGCGCTGGTGGGATTTCCTCGTGGGAAGATATAGGTGCGTCTTGCAAAATAAAGTAAAGTGAAATCGGAGGCGTTTTAATATATCATTCTGAAGAACTGATTTTGCATCCTAGGCAATGAAATAGCATCCATGGTCACTGAAATCGCTTCCTGAATGCGCCGTGAAATTGCAACTTGGAGCACTGAAATTGCATGTTCAACCGTGTGAAGCTTAGATCGCATTCTGAAGCCACAGAAATGTCTCAGAAGCATGCGGATTTGCTTCCTCTGGACCTCTGACACGCCTTGTTCTCTCCCTTTCTCTCCCAAAATCCCACCTCCCCATTCCTTCCCATCCCACAATTCCAAAGAGCATGCAGATGAGCACATCCACATGCATGGGCATGATCATGATCATGATCATGACCATGGGCATGCGAATGGGCATGGACACATGCAGAAGGACCATGGGCATCATCATCAGCATCACCACCACCACTCCCACGCAGCAGGGCAGAAGGTGAAGGGCAAGGCGCAGGCAGCAGAGAGAGCAGCGGGGTTCAGGCACCCAGAGGAGGAGGCGGAGGAGAGGGCGTTGAGGGAAGAAGAGGAGGACGAGGAGGAGGAGGAGGACTGGGAGGCGGACAGGACAATCTGGCCCATGGACCAGAAGCTGCTAGGTAAGGCCCTACTAGATGAGCTCTGAACCAGAAGCTGCTAGGTGAGCCTCTCACCTCATGATACTGACCCTCCTCTCCCTCCCCCACCCAACCCCTCCAATCCTCACCCTTCCAGCCCTATGGCCGGATGCCTGGCATTTCCCTCACTACTAAGCTGTTGTTCGGATTGTCTTATCTCCCCTCTGCCCCTTCCTTCTCATTGATGCTCTTCACATTCCCTCCCCTGATCCCCCAATCCGCCCACCCAAGTAGCCATCTGGCTGGAGGCTATGGGCAGCGCTCGCATCGTCTCCCTTCCACTGTTTCCCATGACCCTCCCTTGTTGCTGTCCGTTCCTCCCCCTTGTTGCTGCTGGTCCGTCCTTTTCTTCCGGTCTCCCTCTGCAGCCATCTGGCTGGAGGCTATGGGCAGCGCTCGCATCGTCTCCCTTCCACTGTTTCCCATGACCCTCCCTTGTTGCTGTCCGTTCCTCCCCTTGTTGCTGCTGGTCCGTCCTTTTCTTCCTGTCTCCCTCTGCAGCCATCTGGCTGGAGGCTATGGGCAGCGCTCGCATCGTCTCCCTTCCACTGTTTCCCATGACCCTCCCTTGTTGCTGTCCGTTCCTCCCCCTTGTTGCTGCTGGTCCGTCCTTTTCTTCCGGTCTCCCTCTGCAGCCATCTGGCTGGAGGCTATGGGCAGCGCTCGCATCGTCTCCCTTCCACTGTTTCCCATGACCCTCCCTTGTTGCTGTCCGTTCCTCCCCCTTGTTGCTGCTGGTCCGTCCTTTTCTTCCTGTCTCCCTCTGCAGCCATCTGGCTGGAGGCTATGGGCAGCGCTCGCATCGTCTCCCTTCCACTGTTTCCCATGACCCTCCCTTGTTGCTGTCCGTTCCTCCCCCTTGTTGCTGCTGGTCCGTCCTTTTCTTCCGGTCTCCCTCTGCAGCCATCTGGCTGGAGGCTATGGGCAGCGCTCGCATCGTCTCCCTTCCACTGTTTCCCATGACCCTCCCTTGTTGCTGTCCGTTCCTCCCCCTTGTTGCTGCTGGTCCGTCCTTTTCTTCCAGTCTCCCTCTGCCCCATCTGGCTGGAGGCTATGGGCAGCCCTCGCATCGTCTCCCTTCCACTGTTTCCCATGACCCTCCCTTGTTGTTGTCTGTTCCTCCCCCTTGTTGCTGCTGGTCCGTCCTTTTCTTCCGGTCTCCCTCTGCAGCCATCTGGCTGGAGGCTATGGGCAGCGCTCGCATCGCCTCCCTTCCACTGTTTCCCATGACCCTCCCTTATTGCTGTCCGTTCCTCCCCCTTGTTGCTGCTGGTCCGTCCTTTTCTTCCGGGCTCCCTCTGCAGCCATCTGGCTGGAGGCTATGGGCAGCGCTCGCATCGTCTCCCTTCCACAGTTTCCCATGACCCTCGCTTGTTGCTGTCCGTTCCTCCCCCTTGTTGCTGCTGGTCCGTCGTTTTCTTCCTGTCTCCCTCTGCAGCCATCTGGCTGGAGGCTATGGGCAGTGCTCTCGTTGTTTCGCTCTGCTCCCTCATCTGCCTCACCCTGCTGCCCCTCGTCTGCTGTGAGTATGAGTAGGCTACGAGTAGCCCAAGAAGAGTAGCCCCAGGACCTTCTCCGTAGCTCGCCCTCACCTTTTCTTCTCTTGCTCCCTCATCTGCCTCACCCTGCTGCCCCTCGTCTGCTGTGAGTTCTTTCTGCTGCCAGCCACCATTTGCACTCGCGGTGGCTCTTTCGACAGCAAGCCCTCCACACTGTTTGCACAGTGAGGAGGACGCTGTTTGCACTCTACTGTCGCTCTTCTTTTCCCATTCCGCCACTCACATGCACCCGCCCTTTCTCATTCCACTGCTCACCCTCAACCCGCCCTTTGTCGTTCCACCACCCCCCCTGGGTGCCTCTCTCTGCTGCAGACAAGGGCAAGCTTCCCCGGGCGCTGGTTGACGGCCTGGCTGCATTTGGGGTGAGTGAGTGGGTGGGTGGGTGGGTGGGTGAGTGATTGAGTGATTGAGTGAGTGAGTGAGTGAGTAAGTGGGTGAGTGAGAGCGAGTTATTGATTGAGTGAGTGAGTGGGTGAGTGAGTGAGAGCGAGTTATTGATTGAGTGAGTGAGTGGGTGAGTGAGTGGGTGAGTGAGTGAGTGTGCGCTTATCTCTACAGTCTAGGGCAAGGGCAAGCTTCCCCGGGCGCTGTTTAATGGCCTGGCAGCTTCAGGGGTGAACGGCCCCTCCCCACGCTGCCTGCAGGCACCTATCTCTTATTGCCTGCAAGTGCTGAAAGCCATCCTATTCCCCCCATCCCTTCTCCTCCCCCCTTCCCCTCTTTCCACCATTGTCTGCAGGCTGGAGCCATGCTGGGAGGCGCCTTCCTTCATCATCTGCCACATGCCTTCGGTGCGCTGCTGAGTCGTCTCAAATGCTCCCCCTCCTCCCCTACCCTCCCACCCACCTCGCACGATTGTCTGCAGGCTGGAGCCATGCTAGGAGACGCGTTCCTGCATCAGTTGCCACATGCCTTCGGTGCGCTTGCTTGCCCTCCTCCCTCCCTTCCTCCCTCCTTCCCTCCCTCCCTCACTTCCTCGGCCTCCTCACCTCGTCTTTTCCCCCTCACCTCTTTTCTCCCTCACCTCTTTTCCCCCTCACCTCTTTTCCCCCTCACCTCTTTTCCCCCTCACCTCTTTTCCCCCTCACCTCTTTTCCCCCTCACCTCTTTTCCCCCTCACCTCTTTTCCCCCTCACCTCTTTTCTCCCTCACCTCTTTTCCCCCTCACCTCTTTTCCCCCTCACCTCTTTTCTCCCTCACCTCTTTTCCGCCTCACCTCTTTCCCCCCTCACCTCTTTTCCCCCTCACCTCTTTCCCCCCTCACCTCTTTTCCCCCTCACCCCATCAACTCAAAATTCACGTCTGCCTCTCAAAAATCTCCCCTTTCGTTGCCATGTTGAACCCCATCCCCGCTATGCCATCATTGCAGGCAGCGGATCGCATTCCCACAACCACACCCAGTCACATGACCATGGGCATGCACATCCACATGGACATGGGCATGAGTCCCATTCACATGACCACGGGCATGACCATGGCCATGAGGAGGGGGAGGAGGGCATGCGCACTCCATTGAAGACCTTTCAGTCGGCATCGCAGTGCTGGGTATGACTGTTAATGTGGTCTCAAGTGCATTCACATGACCATGGCCATGCGCATGAGCATGCGCATGGGCATGACTCCCACTCACATGGTCTTGGTCACGGCCATGACCATGGGCATGTGCATGGGGAGGAGGGGGGATGGCATGCACACTCCATACAAGACCTTTCAGTGGGCATCACAGTGCTGGGTAAGACGGTTCATCTCATCTCATGCGCATTCACATGACCATGGGCGTGGACATCACTACCATGCTTATGGTATGGGTATGGGTGTGGGTATGGGTATGGGTATGTGTATGGGTATGTGTATGGGTGTGGGTATGGGTGTGGGTATGGGGGTATGTGTATGGATATGGGTATGGGTATGGGTATGGGTGTGGGTGTGGGAATGGGTATGGATATGGGTATGGGTATGGGTATTGGTATGGGTATGGGTATGGGTATTAGACATGGGTATATCGCATCGCATCGCGATATATCACATCGCGTTTTATCGCATTTTGCAATTGCGATTTTTCTTTGTTTGTTAAAAAATCGCTGCGATGCGATGTGATTTAATCACGCGATTTTTGCGATATCGCGATTATATCGCGCATTTTTTAGAGCGACATAATGCGAAATGCGATTTTTGAGAATCGCGCGCGATACACTCGCGTATCGCGCACGCGAAAATGGCAGATTTGGGGGGGGGGGGGGAACGAAGCCCAAAAAGAGCTGCGACCAATCCTCTTTGAGAGAACCCCCACCCCAACACATTCCCACCTCATTTCCCACCTCCCCCCCACTCCCATTCCCAAGCTAGCATGCAAACACAAAATGCAAACCCTTGGAACTCCCTTAGCCACCTAGCCACACCTCCACTCCAGGGCTTATTTTTCAAGGGTAATTACCCGGAATGAAAAAACATTAAGAGTTCGCGTTGGGCTCGTTCCGGATTTTGAACGGGTAGAGTTATTGGGGTTTCCGGATTTTATAGAAGTGGTGTTGCGGGGGCTCCGGGAAGATCAGAATTCGCTGGGGGGGCAATCCGGCTGCAACTGCCAAGAAATACCCCCCCACCCCCTCCCCTTCCCCCTCCTCGCACCCAGGGTGGCAGTGACATTTTTCCGGCTAAGTCCCCAACTTTCAGAAACAATCCCACGGAGCCCCCGAACCCAGGAAATTCGGCTAAGTCCCTCACACACATAACTCCCACACCAGCAAAACTCAGAAAAACCGGCTAAGTCCCCAACTTCCAGCAGCATTCCTTCCTTCACCCCGCAACCAAGCAAATATGGCGAAGTCCCCCACACACAGACATACCGTGCTCCTCCCACCCGCACCACCCGAAACCCAGAATTTTCAGCTAAGTCCGTCACAGTCAGGAACATTCCTTCCTCGACCATAGTTGAATTCGGCTAAGTCCCTCCCAAACAGAGATAGTCCTCCTACCCACACCCATGAAACTTCGGCTAGTCCTCATTGCAGGAACATTCCTGCATTTACCCTATAACATAGAGTATTTGGCTAAGTCTCCCTTAAACCTAGAGAATTTTACACAGAGAGACTCCTCCCACCCAGGCCACCCTAAACCTTGAATATTTGGCGTCCCTCACAGACTGGAAAATTCCTCCTACAGCCCCGCACGACCACGGAGCTAGGAAAATTTGGCTAAAAACGTTTAGCCACGTTTCCCTCCTCCCCCTTCCCGCAACCCGGAAAGTTGCGAAGGTTGCTGGCACATATTCTACCCTACTTTAGCGGGTTTGTCAGAAAGCTAGCGGAGGAAATTCACACTCCTAACATAACAAATCCAAAAGTACTCTCTTTTTCTGGCACTCCGCAAATGTTACCCTGTTTGGACCTTGAACATATTGACATGTCCGAGTCAATGTTTGCTATAACTCGGCTAAAAGTAACTTTGTACCCGAATCCGGATGAAATAGAAATCAACTACCCTGAAATCCGGACGAATCAGGGTGCAGGGGGGTGGGGAATCCGGGAGAAACAGAGTCTAAAAAAACCTTAGCGTGAGCCCTGCTCCACTCCCCCATTCCTAAGCAAGCATAGAAGCACCAACTTCAGGACTTGACATCTGTGTTATGGCCGTTTGTTTAGCCTCTCCTGCAGGCATCCCCACTACTCCCTCCCTCCCCCCCCCACCTAACCCCCGATCGACGGTCGCTCGCACTAGTACGCCCCCTCCCACCCCGCCTCCCACCCCTTGGACGATAGTGGGGTTCCCCTTTTTTGGAGCTCGCCAATTTTCGCTTGCTATTTATTAGAACCGACGTTGTACACCAATGTGGGTTGTGCACCTGTTTGAAACCCTTCTCTAGTTCCCAGTTAGCTACCCATCCAAATTGCTGCTGTATTTTACTCTGACCGAAAATTTAGCCCTGGCAATGCAATATTTTATCGCATCGCGCGATATATCGCACTCAACAGTGCGATATTTAAGAATATCACACCCAAAACGCGATATGCGATTTCGGGTTTTTCAAAAACATATCGCGGCGATTCGATATCGCATCGCTGCGATATAATGCGCGTTTCCTCCACCCCCCCACCCACCCACCCCCAGTTGGCATCGTGCTTTTCTTCCTAGTGGAGAAGATTGTCAGGCGCGTGGAAGAATTGACTTCACAAGGCCGGGCTGTGCCGTTTGCTGCTCACAGCCACCAGCACCACCACCACCATCATCACACTCCCAAGGGTGACGAACCCAAGAAGGAGGGCAAGCATGACAAGGGCGAAGGAGACGAGGGAAAGGACGAGGCTGAGTGTGAGACAGCGAGTGAGAAAGCGAGTGAGAGAGTGAGTGAGAGAGTGAGTGAGAGAGTGAGTGAGGAGAAGGATGGAGTGGCAGGGAATGAGGAGAGAAGAGAGGGCGAAGGAACAAGCGGATCTGACGAGAATTGGAAGAGTGTGGAGGGAGACAGAGGGGAGCTCCAAGGACGGGTGGGAGGATGTGGATGAGGGGGGGGAGGAGGAAGGGGAGAGGGGAGGAGACGAGGGGAGTGACACCAAGGCAGAAACGAAGATGGCGAAGGAAGAGGAGGGGGGAGGAGAGGGGGGGATGGAGGAAAAGAGGGGAAAGAGGCAGAGGAGGGAATTGAAAGAGGAAGTCAGGGAGGAATCAGAGGAGAAGGGTGGTGCGGATGGTGCTGGTGGTGCAGGTGGGGGTGTTGGGGGTTTGAGGAGGCGGAGGGCAGGTGGCGATGCGCAGACAGTGACAGCAGACAGGAGCGAGGAGGGAGAGAAGGAGGGTGATGCAGCAGCGACTGACAATGACGAGAAGAAGGCCAAGGCAGTGGCTGTGGCAGCGCCAGCAGGAGCGAGTCTGTTGGCAGCCGCATCTGGTGCACCTGCAGTGAACAAGCACCTTGTGCTGGGGTACCTCAACCTCTTCTCTGACGGCGTGGTGAGTGATGGATGGGGGTGGGGCGGGGGAAGTGGTGAGTGATGGGGTGGGGGAGGGGGAAGTGGTGAGTGATGGGGGTGGGGGAGGGGGAAGTGGTGTGTGATGAGGGTGGAGGAGGGGAAGTGGTGAGTGATGGGGGTGGGGAGGGGGAAGTGGTGAGTGATGGGGGTGGGGGAGGGGGAAGTGGTGAGTGATGGGGGTGGGGGAGGGGGAAGTGGTGAGTGATGGGGGTGGGGGAGGGGGAAGTGGTGAGTGATGGGGGTGGGGAGGGGGAAGTGGTGAGTGGATGGGGGGTTTGGGAAGCAGAGCGGTGAGAGCGCAACCACCACGTGGCCTGCAGTGAAGAAGCACCTTGTGCCTGCTGGAGCACCTCAAACCTTTTTTCTAGATGGCGTGGTGAGTGCTGAGGGTTTGGGTGGTGAGTGTAGATTTTTTTCCACTCCCCTATCACCTTAACGACCCTTTCTGGCTGACAGCCACAATCTCACTGACAGCCACAATCTCACTGTCAGCACAATCTCACTGACAGCAAGTCGCTGGGTTCTCCTTGTCCACCGTCCCTTCCTGCCCGTTTCTTTCCCCTCCCTCCCTCCCTCCCTCCCTCGCTGTCCTGCCCCCCTTCCCCTCGCAGCGCAACGCTACGGACGGCATGTCACTGGGCTCTGCCTTCCTCCATCGGGGGGCGCTGGGGGCTATTCGCGCATGCTCGTCATGCTTGGAACACCCCTCCTCCCAACCCCCCCTCCTACCCCCCCTCTACCCCCCTCCTACCCCCCTCCTACCCCCCTCCCTACCCCCCTCCTACCCCCCTCCTACCCCCCCCTCCTACCCCCCTCCTACCCCCCCTCCTACCCCCCCTCCTACCCCCTCCTACCCCCCTCCTACCCCCCCTCCTACCCCCCCTCCTACCCCCCTCCTACCCCCCCTCCTACCCCCCTCCTACCCCCCTCCTACCCCCCTCCTACCCCCCCTCCTACCCCCCCTCCTACCCCCCTTTCATTCCCCTCCTAGCACAACTTCACAGACGGCATGTCGCTGGGCTCGGCCTTCCTCCATCGGGGTGCTCTTGGTGGCTACTCGCGCATGCTGTTCATGATCGCTCACGAGATTCCGCAGGAGGTGAGGGGGCAGGGAAGGGGGCGGGCGGGGGAGGGGGGGCAGGGAAGGGGGCGCGGGGCGCGGGGGAGGGGAGAGGGTATTGGGCACTCTGCTCTTGCTGCTGACAGCCCTGGGGGGCTACTCGCACATGCTCTTCGTGATAGCGCAGGAGATTCCTCAGGAGGTGAGGGGGCAGGGAAGGGGGGGCGGGAGGTGGGGGAGAGGGTATTGGGCACTCTGCTCTTGCTGCTGCCGGTGCTCTTGGTGGCTACTCGCACATGCTCTCGAGATAGCGCAGGAGATTCCTCAGGAGGTGAGGGAGGGGGTGGGGAGAGGATGGGCCGGGGGGGTGGAGGGGCAAGTGGCCTGGCATCGCACCTGCAACGTCTGCTGCTACCCACGCATGCTCATCACGCTAGCCAGATACTACTCAGGAGGTGAAGAGGGGTGAGGTACGGTACAGGGGAACGTAGGGGGATGGAGGGACCATGTTGTCTGCAATCAGCCTATCACACCTGCACCAGCTGCTACTCGCACATGCTCTTCATTGCTGGGGACCCTGCTGGCCCTGGTGCTGGAGACTCGTTACTGGTGCTACATACAAACAAACGTCTCATGCATGTTGTGTTATCCGGCATCTTCACTCGCTTCCCCTTACTGTCAGGTGGGGGACTTCGGCATTCTGGTTCGCTCGGGTATGGGGGTAACTCAAAGCCCTAGCGCTCAACTTCCTCTCTGCCCTCACTGCTCTGCTCGGCACTGCTGCTGTGAGTACCAACCTCCGTTACATCTCTATCACCTTTCTAAATCTCTTTTAAGGTGCCTCTAAAGTCTGCTGTGAGTACCAACCTCCGTTACATCTGTATCACCTTTCTAGATCTCCGCCATGGAATGGTTCTTCCTGGTTGAATCTTTGTCACCGCCGCTCTTCTCCACCCTATCCTCCCATGCGCTCTCCCCTCGGCCCCTTGCTTGCTGTCTCCCCAGGCTCTCATATTCGGCGGGCAAGAGGCGCACTCGGGACTCATAGAGGTGAGGTGTCACGTCCAAACTAAGAGGTGTGAATGGTGTGTCAATGGTGTGTGGATGGTGTGTGGATGGTGTGTGGATTGTGGCCGCATCTTGGTGTATGAGTGGTGGCAGTGCATCGGTGTGTGCTTTGAAGATCCTCAAAACACATCTCCCCAGGCTCTCATATTCGGAGGGCAAGTGGCATACTCGGGGCTCATAGAGGTGAGCGAGGTTAGATCCTTACTGATCCGAGGTTAGAGCTTTGCTGATCCGAGGTTCGAGCTTTGCTGTTCCGAGGTTCAAGCTTTGCTGATCCGAGTTGAGAGCTTTACTGATCCGAGGTTAAAGCTTTGTTGATCCGAGCTTTACATATCAGACTCAAACCACGTTTCTCTCCAGGCTCTCATATTTGGAGGGCAAGAGGTGCACTTGGGGCTCATAGAGGTGAGCTACACTAGGCTGAGGTTTCAAGGCGACTTTTGAGTGACAAACCCCCTGCTTGCTGCCCTCGCTCCTCACTTCCCTCCCAACTTCCCTCCCCACTTCCTCAGGGCTTCACGGCAGGAGGGTTTATCTACATTGCAGTGGCAGGGGTCATGCCTGACATGCACGCACAGGGGGTTGACATCCTCTCTACTGGCATTCAGCTCGCTTCGCTTACAGCAGGGGTCGCTGTAGCTGTTGTGATCTCTCTCTTAGAATAGGGTAACTTGAATTGAGTCACATGGTAACTGACATGCCCGCACAGGAAGTTGTCATCCTCTCTACAAGCATCCAACTCGATTCGCTTACAGCATGAGTCGGTGCAGCTGTTGTGACTGACTTCCCTTCTAGAGATGGCTGCCACTGATGGAGTGCTTGTTAGACACCGTGCATGTGCATCATTACCACCAACAATTCACCGGGTGAGCATCATCTGACTCTCATGCAATTCACTCCTGGTAGGCACGGTTCCTGAATCCCCTTCTACATGGGGATACCGGTAGTTAAGCTGGGGAGCAGTGTATTAGCAAGTGCATATAAAACAGCTAACTAGCTACACTTACGGAGTCAACAAGACATCTTTATTTCCGAGTCAGAGACCTGGGCTGCATTGCCTGTGATGTACAGTATCCAACAGCAACCACTCCGATGTTTTAGCTAGGGAGAAAAGGTGACGAAGAAAAGTGGAGTTGGACTTGAAAGAGGGATACAAGAGGGGTGTTGTAACCTCTACAGTAGGATCCAGTATTGTAGCACACCTTGTTCAAATTATATAAGTTATAATTTATATAGGCTTGGTAGGTTGTTACCGAACCTTTTCTGTAGAGGGTACAAACCCCTCCTTGTACTCCTCTCTCTTCCTAATCCAACTCTCTTTCCTCTCGACATTTTTCCTACTCTCCTAGCTAAACCCCGCCGCCAGAACCATGGCGGCCTCCTTTCACTTCCTCCTAGCCTAGTACTACTTTAACATGGTATCGAGAGCAGGACGTCCTTCCTGGACCTGCTCCCCTCCGTGCTTCCGCTGCGTTCTCGTTTACTGCCTTCCGACTTCCTGCCGTGCCGCCGTGGCGGCCATGCCCGTTCCTGCCGTGCCGTCGCGTCGTGACGCGTGGCGTCGACGCCACACTGCTGTGACGGCGCCGTGCTTACCATCGCAGCGGCGACGTCCCACCGCTGCATCGACGCCGCGATGTGTCGGCGTCGTAATGCTGCCGTGGCAGCGTCGTCGGACGACAGCTTGCCGCGCGACGTTCAGGGCGCCGCCACGCCTGCTGCCCGCACGCCAGCCTCAAGCATGAGGCTGGACCACGCCCCGCCCCCCTTCCCCTGTGTCCTGTATCTTGCCGCAGCTGACGGCTGATTCCCGCCGGCCGTCCCACCCTCGCGGGGTCTGGCCACGTCACCGAGAGGTGCGGGTGCCGCCGACGCCGCCGCTGTTGTCGAAGCCGCCGCCGCCGCCGCTGTCGCCGCTTGCGTCGGGGCCACGCAGCCGCACGCCGCCGCCGCCGCCGCTGTCGACACTGCCGCCGCTGCCGCCGTCGCCGCCGCAACCCCTGCGGTCGACGTCGCCGCCTCACGCACCGTGGGGTCGACCGACCTAGTGTCGCTGTCCCTATGGCTGGAATGGGGGTGCTAGGTTAGGGGGTGTGTGGTGTGTTGGGTGGGTGTGTGACTACCAAGCCTAGGGGGTGTGTTCAAATTATATAAGTTATAATTTATATAGGCTTGGTAGGTTGTTACTGAACCTTTTCTGTAGAGGGTACAAACTGTCAAACATGTGTATTTGTCATGTTTGTATAGACTGTATAGGGTAGCCTCTTAGAGGGTACAACACTTAGGTATATCTGTGTGTACCCTCTCTCTAACAATTATTCACTTCAATTTCTGATATGGTATCACGCGTAGGTAGGATCCCCCCCCACCTACCGCTTCCGCTCGCCCCTAGCCCCGTCGCGACCCCCCTAGCCCCGTCGCGCCCCTTCCTGGGACCCGTCGCGCCCTCCCTGGGCCCCGTCGCGCCCCTCCGGGCCCCGTCGCGCCCCTCCCAGGCCCCGTCGTGCCCCTCCTGGGCCCGTAGCGCCCCTCCTGGCCCCGTCGCGCTCCTCCAGGCCCCGTACGCCCCTCCTGGGCCTCGTCGCGCCCCTCCTGGGCTCCGTAGCGCCCCTCCTGGGCCCCGTCGCGCCCTCCCCCTGTCGCGCCCTCTGGGCCCTGTAGCGCCCCTCCTGGGCCCCGTCGCGCCCCTCCCAGGCCCCGTCGCGCCCCTCCTGGGCCCCGTAGCGCCCCTCCAGGCCCCGTAGCGCCCTCCTGGGCCCCGTCGCGCCCCTCCAGGCCCCGTAGCGCCCCTCCTGGGCCCCGTCGCCCCTCCAGGCCCCGTAGCGCCCCTCCTGGGCCCCGTAGCGCCCCTCCTGGCCCCGTCGCGCCCCTCCTGGGCCCCTGCAGCGCCCCTCCTGGGCCCCCGTCGCACCGCCCGGCCCCGTCGCACCAGCCCGGCCCCGTCGCACCCCCGGCCCCGTCCTGCTCGCCCGGCCCCGTCGCACCCGCCGGCCCGTCGCACCCTGCCCGGCCCCGTCGCACCGCCCGGCCCCGTCGCACCAGCCCGGCCCCGTCGCGCCCGCCCGGCCCCGTCGCACCGGCCCGGCCCTGTCGCCCCCGCCCGGCCTCGTCGCCCCTGCCGGCCCCGTGCGCTCGCCCGGCCCCGTCGCCCCGGCCCGGCCCTGTCGCACCAGCCCGGCCCCGTCGCGCCGCCCGGCCCCGTCGCGCCCGCCCGGCCCCGTCGTCCTCGCCCGGCCCGGTCCACCTGCCCGGCCCCGCTGCCCCGGCCCCGTCCTCCTCACTGGTACGGTTCCCCCCACCCCGCCCTGCACGCCCTGCACCGTACCGCCACGCACCACACTGTACTGCCTTACACCGCACTGCACCGCGCACTGCACGCACTGCGTCGCACTGCACCGCACTGTACCGCACTGCACCGCACTGCATCGCACTGCACCGCACTGTACCGCACTGCACTGCACTGCACCGCCCTGCACCGATGGACTGTTCCTGATGGCGGCGGAGCTTCGCTTCGACGCTGAAGGTCAGCCCCTAGAGTTCGAGGCGTGGCTTGCCGACCTCCGCCGCCAACTCACTGGCCAGCGGCAGGATGGTGAACCGCTTTCCGCACACCTTGACGGTACGCTCCCCTGCCCAGACCCCCCTGCTATTCTGCCCGCTGACCCACACCCACTGAGCGTGAGTCTACTGCTGCCACTGCCCGTGCGCGCTCTGTCTGGCTTTCTCGCGATGCTGTCGCCCAGCTTGCCATTAGCAACGCCCTCCCCCGTCCGAGCGTCCTCGCTTTAGGTCCCTCACTACTGCTCAGGCATACTTAGATGCTGTCATCAAGCGCTATTCCACCCCTCCGGCTGCCTCGGTGGGTCGCCTGATCCTCCCGATGCTCTTTCCTGACCTTGCTTCTTTCCCCACTGTCTCTGACCTCGCTGCCCACCTGCGCTCGATAGAGGAGACCTGGCGCGCCGCCTGCACTGACGCACAGCTTAGAGCCCACCAGCCGCCCATTACCTCTACCCTCTACCTGCTTGCCACCCGCCTCCCTGACCGCCTTGCTGTCGCCCGCGACCGCTTCCTTAGCCTTCACCCCCGACCTCACCCTCACTGACTTTGTAGACACCCTGACTGTGATAGAGACCCGTCACCGCTCCATCGCCCAGGCGAGCGGTGTCGTGCCTGTCCCTATCTTTCAGGGTTGTGCCCCCGCCCAGTGTACCTTCTCCGACGGCTCTGTGCAGTGGCTGAGACTGCTGCTGCAGCGCAGTTTCGTTCGGGGAAGGGCCGCCGCCCCAAGGTTGGGCGCGGCGGAGGCGGCGCGGGGGTGCGGGAGGGGTAGTGGTGGGGTCGGGTCGTCTGGTGCTGGAGCGGACGAGGGGACCCTGCCCAGTCCAGCTGAGCCGCCGCCCCTGCAGTTGCAGCAGCCGCAGCAGTCGCCGCAGTCGCAGCCTTCGCAGCAGCCGCCGCAGCCGTCGCAGACGCGGCAGACGAGTGTCCTCCCGCCCGGGTGGCCCGGCGCTGGCGGTGGCCGGGCGCGTGGTGGTGTGTCGTGTGGTAGCTCTGGCGGCGGGCGCTGTCAGTACCAGATCCAGACCGGTCCTCGCCGCGGCTTCGTTTGCGGTAAGATCGGTCACTCCACTCCCCGCTGTTTTCGTCGCCTGGACGACCTCTTTCGTCAGCGCTTCGGCCCGTCGCCAGACCTCCCGGACTGGCACAGTTTGCTTAGTCGTAAGATTCAGATTTTGATATGGACATGGATGCCATTGTTTCTGCTCTGCATGTGATGTATGCTGATGACTCTAGTGTGCTTCCCGCTTATTACTCACTGTTGCCTAGTGTAGGTGTGCCTAGTGTACCCTCCCCTGCTGCGTCAGGCGTAGGATCCTCTGCTTTGTGTAGCCTTGGTGCTTCCGCCGTCG